ATGACTAGAAAGTCTTTTCCTAAAAAATAAAAAAAAAATTATGAATTAAATGCTTCATTAATTATATATATTAATAAACTGTAGAAAATCTAAAATACAAAGGCTTAAATTTTATTTATAAAAGTCTTAAAATTAGGTGGTCTAAGTTAAATATGGCATCTTCCATTTCAATAAGAAACTTGTATTTCTGGGTCTGGGGCGCTAAAGTGGCTTTTTCCTACCCCTCAACTCTTCCCCTCCTCCGCCCATACAATAGAGGCAAAAATAGTCAAAGGGTATCAGATTCAACCCCTTAATTGACAAGACAAATAAATTTCATAATTCATTGTGTTCACATCCCAGTGGTACTACTTAAACTCATGGCTATAACTAAATGTAACTGCAGCTGCAATTGTAAATTTTATTACTGAGTAGAGAAACTGGCTGATCTACACAGTCGCCAACAAAACCCGTTGAATTGCACCTTGATCTCTCTTTTTCATATTTGTTAAAAGTAAAATATATTGCTTCTGCAGTTGTAATGCAAGCTTTGGATATTTTTTTTTGAAAAAAAACTTATAGCTTACTACAGTTTATAGAATATTTTTGTATGTATATCTCTATATTGACCACTGCAACTTTCTTTGATACCATACTATATACATTATGGTAGAAAGAACTTTTTCAATTATGGACTTGACATTACAGATATAATATACTGATGGAATGGGAATGCATATAATGGAACAAATGTTACAATGTTCCATAACTTTTTAATGTTAATATAAGTAGTTTTCCCTTTTAAGATGCAGTTAACAACGATGAAATATGATCAGTTCTTATTTATTCTCCTCTGTGTGTCTTTCACATTTCCATGGCATTATTTCAATACCTCTTGGAATTTCATTTCTTGGCTGAAAACTCGCTTTGAATGTCTTAATCTAACACGGTCTAATAGAATTTCTGTGAAGACAGAAATTTTCTGCTACTATTCTAATATGGAAGCCACTGAAACTTTTGAGATTTTAGAATATAAATTGCATGACCAAAGAACAGAATTTTAAACTTTATTTCATTTTTGATGAATTTAAATTTCAGTAAACCCATGTGGCCAGTAGTCACCATATTAGACAAAACATTTAGTCACTTCATATTCCATCTGCAAATATTTTTCTCCATATCTATTTTACTACATAATATTACTCCTGAAATATCCTCAAATGAATTTAACTACTCAATATTAATGCATTTGGTGTTTAATTTTTTGGGGGGTGAGAAATTTTGAATTTTCACTGTGACTTACACTAAAGATAAATATCTAAAATAACACCTTAATATTTACAGAACTTAGTATGTGCAAGGCATTGTTTTGAGCATTTTGTACATAAGATATCATTTAATTATCAAAAAATACATTGTAACATAGTAAACTTACATTATGATTATCATCATTTTATAGATGTGTGAGTATATCCATAGGTTAATTAATGTTTTGCCTAAGATTGAATAGCTAATAAATAACTACACTATGATGTAAACTACAGGAAAATGACTTCTAACCCCAGGTTCTCACTCCATTATTTATTCTTTCTTCATTATGGAGGGTGAGATTTTTCATCAGTAATTCTCCTTATTCAAAATGCATCACAGTTTCTACGAACTTTGTGTACGTATAATATCAGAAACTATTGCCTTTAGCAAGAGGTAGTAGAAAAGAATAGACAGTTTCTCTTCCTTTTATGTGATATAATTCACTGAGCAGCAAATATTTGCAAAAAGATGATCCAAAATGTTCTCTAGGTTATCTTTGCTTATTTGGCACTGGGATTCTATTTTATCAGTATACTACTTAAATTAGTAAACACAAGTGATATGTTTATTCCTATTACTACGAAAGATTCTTAATTTTTCCCCCCCTCAGAATCTTAGTCAGGTTTGATTATTTTCAGAGGAATATATTTTCAGATTTAACTCAGGTCAATCATGTGCAAGTTAAAGTTACTTAGAAGCACAGCGTCCATAATTAAGTAATCTTACCGACTAATATAACAGAGTAAGAATACCTTTAGGTGACATGAAATCTGTCATTTTAAGTATGCCCCCAAGCCTTTTCCAGATAGCTCATAAGATTTCTCATTCTCTAGAGAAATGTGATCTCTAAGAAATAAATGTCTCTGTCAAGTCAAAAGTAATATGAGCACCTGATGAAAAAATGGAATTTTTGAGTCTCATAAGGAATATTGCAGTATTGTAAAATTGATTTTATTCCTTGTTATTTAAGTGCTCTTGGTCATTTTAGAATGTGCCTTCTAGAATAAAGGGAAAGTTATGATACTTTTAGGGAGGTGGGGGAAAGAGGCCTTTGGGGATCAGGAGAATATTTTTCATATGAAATTCTTTGTCATAAAATGCTAATGTTGGTGTTCTTGTCTTTATGTCTATGCATTCTTTAGCTATGAGGATAACAGACCCTTCATCAAGTAAGAATGACCTGAATGGCTGATAAATTCCATTTATCAGTGTGGTCCCATGAACCAGCTGTCAGATCAGTACTGAAAAAAATCACTAGAGCTTCTGTCATTCACATTGAGGCAGAAGAGCAAACTGTGCAGGAAAATAATCAGGCATACAACTTACATGCAGAATAAATATGCTGCAGGTGTAGTGCCAAAAAAGTTCTGTGTTATCTCTTTTAATTGGATATCACCTGAATTGAGTGCCCCAGTAATAGCAATTTCATGTGGTACAGACTTGTTCTGCTTTTAATAGCCTTCTCTTTTCATTGTGATAAGTGTTCCGCTGTGCTGCATATGTCCCTATTTTGTTGTTTGGGCATCATACATCCAAAATTATTTTGTGATTTAGAGGCATATCTTTAAAATGATCATGTGGGTATGAAACTACCCAATTCAACTGATACTAATGAATTTCTATATCAAATATCTAAAAGGAGAAAAAAATCCCTCCTTCAAAAATTTAATTTTACATATGCAGAATTCTCTTTCAAATTTGACACCTATCACTTTGATTAATGATCCAGTTGTTATGAATACATCTTTTAAGTATCTAAAACAAGCTACAAGTCTGTACTAATCAGTAAGAATAAATATGAATGTTTCACATATGGGCTTTTTCCTTTGTATGTTTTAAAATTACATGTCCTGCAACAATAAACTTAAGATTGGCAACCTCTGGGTGACCTTGCTATAGACTTTCAGTTTGTTCTTCTGGTGAAGAGTCCTTTGTTTTCATTTTTTCCAATGCCATTTCATTTATTTCTTCATACTCTTGCTTTTCTTTATTTTTTAAGAAATTGGGCCCACTCCAATTTTATATCATTCCCTTGTGGGCCTACCATGTGTTCACTAATGAATAATAGACTTTAGTATTTTACCCTGTCACTTTGCTTCTAAATCTAAGTAGAAATTTTGCCTAAATTATATGCAATTCTTCCCATTTTCCCTTTTTCCGATCCCTTTAAGATGCTGATAACTGTTTTGAAAGTTCCAATATTCTGAATCTAATTGTAGAATAACATATAAATCCAAGGTGTTTTTTAACTCATATAAGTACATATACAATATGCAGTGGCAATCTTCCTTTAGGGATTCTTTATTCAAGAATGATAATATTCTAAATAAACATGTTAAATTTAGTGGACATTTAAATTTAAAATATAGTGGCTGATTGTTGTAGGAAAAAAATAGTAAACATTTGAGACTTTAGTAAACATTTTTAAGACTTTAAAGAAAGTTAACAACTTTGGGACCATATCTTTCTTAACAGGTAGATTTCCTTGAAAGCTAATTAAACCCAGCTTCAGATTATGGTAAACATATGTGATTCTCCCCGCTTCATTTTGCAATGTTTCAATTCTCATAAGTATTTCTTCATTAGACAATGTAAGTGGAAGATGATAGTCCTCTGGAAAAAAAGATTTGTGTACCCTGTTCATGGAAGGTGTTGGGGGAAAAGAAAGGGTGGCTTCATGAATGTATCAAGATCTAGGCTGAATTGGTCCTGTTCTCCCATATACTTAGAGAGGAGTTGAGAACAATTCCATTTTCAGTTATTAGATTCCTGTCTAGTGGAAGGATTCATTCTATATATACAACACAAGTATAAATACATGTAATTTTGTTACCTGTTTATAACTCTTATGAACGGCAGCTTGGAAGAAACCAAGGAAATGGAATGAGAGTGAGAATTTGTCTTCCATTCTGGACTATTTTGTTCATACCACTCCATCTCATTGTCAGCTTCATTATATCCCTTGAGTTTACAGATACTTCAAAGAGATGGAAGTGCCCTGGTCCTTTAAGCTCCTTTTCAGCAAAGCTGCCAGTCACCTAATTTCCAGTCTAGTCCACCATGACCTATAAGAAAGCAATCAAAAGGCTGAAGAAAGCAAATTGTGACCTAGAGTAGCATTATTTTTCCCATCCATTCTACATCACATTTGTTCTATATAACTATAGAATCAGAAAAAAAAAAATTTAAAAAGTCACATACCTACTCCAAATCCTGGTTCCTTCTAATATTAGTTCTGTTGTCAGCAAACACTAAAATTTTTATGGAAAAAGTGGAAATTTGGAAAAATGGGGTAAAAAATGTACCAGATGAAGCTATAATGGAGAATGCAATCAAAATAAATATTATCATACCAATGAGACCAATGGAGACTAACATAGCTGTCTAGGCTTTTCCCTCTTGTCATTTACCATGATCACATCTCCATATCATTTGCATATGTGCTACAAATACATGAATAATTTAATAGTACAGATCTGCTTTTGTTTAAATCAATTTCTGTGTATATAACATTTTCATTCATGTATATTTCCTCAAGTTTGAAATTTTAGTCCCCATTCATATCTTACAATATTATTCCACCTGTCTTACATTTTCTATCAAGAAAACTTACTGTAAGATTTTTTCCAGTGTTGATATTATTGATTAATGATATTGTGCTAATTAAAGACCAATTATTGAGAACCCTTATTTTTTTTCTCTCTCTATAGGTCATGGGTTATAGGTGCAATAGCTCTTCTCTGCCTATTAGGATTGACCTGGGCCTTTGGACTCATGTATATTAATGAAAGCACAGTCATCATGGCGTATCTCTTCACCATTTTCAATTCTCTACAGGGAATGTTTATATTCATTTTCCATTGTGTCCTACAAAAAAAGGTAAGCTAGGATTCTGGATTCAGAAACAAATGGCATACATTGTGTGATGACACAGCAATTACAGCATATTGTAATAACTCATTCTTGACATGATCACCTCTAAGAAATATATTGCATCACTGATTTTTTTTTAGAATGGACAAAACTGGTACAAATTACAGGCAAGGTAGTTGGTGGGTGTGTTTAACAGCAAAAGGCAGAATCACAGTATTCTGATTTAGATAATGCATAAAAATTATTATCTTGTAGACTTGACCTTATATTTTTATTGGAAGACACATGGAATTTGTGTATTAGGAAGCAACTTTTCTTTTTTTTTTTTTTAAGCCATGTACTTTCCATTATATAATACTAAAATTTTGCCGTGTTTCCCTTTATTTTTTTTTTTTTGTTGTTGTTTTTGGAAGCTTTGTAATTTAGCTTAGTTCAACATACAGTTCATAGGTAATTTATTTATTTATTTATTTATTTATTTTTTATATTAAATTTTATTTTTATATTCCCCTATACAATTGCAAACGCCCCATTCTGACCCCAATCCTTCCCCTCCCGCCCCCACCCCAGGAAGCAACTTTTCTAAGATTTATGGAGGCAGGGGATACACACACAGAGACAGGAGTAAAATCAGGAGATTAAGAGAAAAGACAAAATTTGTCTATGTATCAATAATTAGGGAATATTAGGCCATCAGTTATAACACCTTCAAGTATAGTAGGTCAGATTTATTCTAACCTTTCGTACATTATCTGTAATCTTTAATTATCTTTAATGAGACTTACATAGAAATTTTCTAGAGTGGAAATATTTTTTATACTTTATGCATTATTTTGATTGTGATTTTTATTAGTCAGCATCAGAGTTTTCTCAACTTTTATTTTTATTGTCTTACCAATATACATTGAATAACTAAAAATTGTTTTTGATATTCTGGTAGAAATTTTGAACCTTAAGATCCAAGCACTTGTCTAGAGATTTTAGTGTGTTTAACATATATAAGTGATATTTTCATGTATCATCAAATGCAGTTTGGCAAACATGGTCATATTAATTTTTATGGCCAGTCAGCCAAAAATGTTTTTTACATTTTCAAATGGTTAATTTAAAATTAAAAATAAGTATATAGCATACTTGGTTTTGCCTCTTGGCTCACAGAGCATACAGTTTTGTCTCTCTGGCTCTTCATGAAAAAATTATCAAACCCTGATTTAGAAGGTTGCCTTTATGGTTTATAAAAACAAGTAACATGCATACTGTTCTTTCATCCACTTCTGTGTTTTTATTCTTTCAATTTTGGTGGCATTTTATTTGGTGTCAAGAACATGGCACACCATCAAAGAATATAGAGAACATGGAATTTATTTTTTCCTAAAATAATAGGTACTTGTTTTTGAAATTGCAGAAATAATATTAAGAAAATTTTCTCTTTCTTTTTAAAAATTGACATATAATTGTGTAAGTTTCTGGTGTACAATATGTTCACTTGATACACTTATATAATGTGAACTGATTACTACCTTAGTGTTAGCTATATTCTGCTTTACCTCAGATAATTACCATTTCTTTTTTCATATGGTAAGAACATTTAAGATTTTCTCTCTTAGCAACTTTCAAGTAAATAATATAACATTGTTAACTATAAAAACCATGCTGTGATTATAAATTAGATGTCCCAAATGTATTCATCTTATAACTAAAAGTTCATATGCCCTAACCAATGTCTTCCTATTTCCCCTACTCCCATCCTCTGGCAAAAACTATTTATTTTCTCTTTCTGTGAGTTCCACCTTTTTGGATTCCACATATAACTTCTATCATGCAATATTGTCTTTCTCTATTTGACTGACTTCACTTAGCATAGTGTCATTAAGGTCCATCCATGTTGTCACAATAGCAGCATTTCCTTCCTTCTAAAGGATAAAGAATATTCATATTCACATATATGGAATTTAATATAAATAATAAACAATATATATAATATAAATATAATATATATAACTAATTCATCCATTGATGGACACATAGTTTCCCATATCTTTGATATTGTAAATGATGCTGTAATGAACATGGGAGTGCTGATATCTCTTCCAGATTCTGATTTCATTTCCTTTGATACAGAGTCATGCATCACTTAATGATGGAGACATATTTTGATAAATGAGTCTTTAGGTGATTTCAGCCTTGTGTAAATGTCATAGAATATAATTACACAAACTTAGGTGGTATATCTTAATATACACTGCCATATCTATGACAACTGTCATATATGTGGTCCCTTATTGATGTAAATGTTGCTAAGTCATGCTTGATTTTATTACCAGAATTCTGAATGCAGGATGATAGGGTAATTCTATTTTTAATGTTGTGAGGAACTGCCACACTATATTCCATGACTGAACCATTTTACTTTCCAAGAATTCCCTTTTCTCCATAGCCTCACAAACACTTATCTCTTGTCTTCTTGATTATAGGTATTCTAACAGGTGCGAGCTAATAGCTTGTTATAGTTTTGTTTTGCTTTGGCTTGAAGATCAGTGACATCTTTTCATGTACCTTTTTGCTATTTGTATGCCTTCTTCGGAAAAATGTCTATTTAGTTCTCCTGACCATTTTTTAAATCAGATTGGTTGTTTTGTTTTTGGGTTGTGTGTGTGTGTATGTGTGTTTCGTTATTAGTTTGTATTTATATGGATATTAACCCCTTATTAGACATATGATTGGCAAGTATTTTCTTCTATTCTGTAGCTGCCTTTTTATTTTGATGAATGCTTATTTTGTTGCACAGAAGAACTTTTTAGTTTGGTGTAGTCCCATTTGTTCATTGCTTTTGTTGCTGTTGCTTTTGTGTCATATCTAGAAAAGTATTGCCAAGACCAATGTCAAGGAGCTTGTCTCCTATTTTTTTACTAGGAGGATTATGGTTTCTTTTCTTATGTTTAAGTCTTTCATTCACTTTGAGTTGATTTTTGTGAGTGGTATATGGTAGCAGTCCACTTTCATTCTTGATCTTGTGGTTAATCAGATTTCCTAACACCATTTATTGAAGATACTGCCCTTTCCTAATTTAGTTGTTAGTGTTTTGGTCCAATATCAGTTGACTTTATACGAAAAGATCTATTTCTATACTCTTGATTCTATTAGATTGGTGCCTTTCTTATACCAGGGTCATATATTGTTTTGATTACTATATTTTGGCAGTATAGTTTTAAGTAAAACAGTGTGACTTTTAGCTTTGTTCTTCTTTTTCATGTTTATTTAACTATTTGGAGGCTTCTGTGGTTGTATAAAAGTTTTAGAATTTTTATTTTTCAGTGAAAAATGCCTTTGGGATTTTGAGGATTGTATTGAATTATATATATTTGGGGTAGCATAGGCATTTTAACAATATTTAATTTTAAGTGTTTTTTTTTTAATCACATAATTAAATTCAATGGTATGCCCATGCTAATGTAGTTGCTCATTTTTAGTTAAATATGAAGTTTTCCATTTTTGATATATTTTGTTTCATAGGGTTATTTTGTATTGGATCAACTTGTTAGCAAACATCAAATTTTGAGTTGTCATTTCTTTCCTGAATATAGATTACATGATTGTGACAACAGCATTTCCAATTACAGTCATCACTTTTTCTTTCATTATACACTCAATTATATAATACACTCTTAGAGGTTTTCATGATTATTTTATTTTTCAACTGAAAATATGAAAGAAATACTCTGTCAGTAATGTATATTTTCTTTCCTGTCTTTTGATTCTAGAACATCACATTGAAATAAAAAAAGATATCGTCTGATTGAGTTAAGATGAAGTCAGTCAAATAGAGAAAGACAATATTGCATGATAGAAGTTATATGTGGAATCCAAAAAGGTGGAACTCACAGAAAGAGAAAATAAATAGTTTTTGCCAGAGGATGGGAGTAGGGGAAATAGGAAGACATTGGTTAGGGCATATGAACTTTTAGTTATAAGATGAATACATTTGGGACATCTAATTTATATGACATAGATTAGAATATGCAAACTTTTACTGCAAACTAAAGAAAAAAATTCTCATGTACATAGTCCCTATTATGTTGCTTTCTTCTTTTTAAAGCACATGATTACAATTTCAAATCAAATTGCAGAAAATATAAAGTCAGTATAATGATTTAGTAAGTATTATTGCTAATGTGAGATTTGACATCACTAGGTATGTTTATTTGCTGGTAGCTTATATGTTCAGAGCATCTTACTGATGTTGGAAAATTGGAGTTTTCAACATTTTTATACTAGAAAATGTAAATAGTTCCTGATGGGTCCTGTGTCTTATGCAATATTGCTGCCTTTGTAATAGGAAGAGTACTGTTTCTATTTTTTAGTTTTTTTTTTCACTTTATTTTTTATACTAATTGTTTTTTCATTTTTTACATCATTGTTCATTTTTAAAGAATATTTGCTTCCCTCCACCCCCTCAGGTGTAGTCCCCATAGAATTTCCTTGTGTGTTTCTATTTTTTTCTTCCTTCCTTTTTTCTCCCATTTCTTCCCTTCCTCTCTTCAACTCGCCTCTCTTTTGACCTCTCCCTAAATATTTGCTTAGCTTTATAACACTTCATTAAAAAATCAGTGTGTTTTCTTAAAAGAAAGCTATTGCTTGTTGACTACATTAGGTACAATGAAGTGATGTAGGTTACAACAAAGATAGTGTTTCTTCTTGGGTAGAGATTTTTTTAAACCTTCCAAGTTCTAAATAAAATATTCATATTTTTTTTCCAGATTCAGATGTGATAATTTAATAGATGAATTTAATAATAAGATTAACAATATACCATACCTTGTGTTGGTCATGTAATCATGTTAGAAATGTGACATTTTAGAAAGAACTTTCTGATTATAGAGTACCTGTGGGATATAGATGGTTTCACACAAGGTACATTGCTTAAACTTTTCAGTCTTTCATTGCTTAACCTTTTCAGTGTTGTTCTATGTAATTTTGAGGGAGGGGCCTACCTGCCTAACCAAATCCAGCTTCTTTAATCCACCTTAGTATACACACATATCTTAGACATTTTTGCAAGTGGATACAAATTTAATTTTTTGAAAATGAACAAAATTTGGATTATAAAAATAATCATTTCCAGTAATAGAAAACCTTGCATAAAAGAGATTAGAGACAAAACAGATCAGTATAACTTTAATTATGTTAAAGAATATGCAATTTTCCTAGTCCAGATCAGATAAAGATCTCAAACATTAGCACATCATGCCTCCCTGTTTTTACTTCTTATATCCTCTCTTTCCTTTCTTTACACTTGATAGTATAAACTAATTCCAACCTATCTTTGAAGATTGTCTCAATTCTTTTTGAGAAACTTTCCTTGGTACCCCTACCTATTTCCAATCAACACCCCTCCTCCATTCTTTGATTAACCTTACTCAATGTCACTGTTTCTGTGATACACTAAGCAATCAATAAATGTGACTTTTTTGAACAAATATAAGTGTTTTCTCTCTGATTCTGCTATGTATTTGACAGAATGAATTTTACATTATTAGATATAATATTTTACATTTGAATACTAGTTTTGCTGTACTATTCACTTTTTTTTTTTGCTTTTGACTCTAAACAACATTCCTCCAAAAATCAAATATTTATAATATTGTTTTAAATAAAATTACATTGGAATATTCTTGTCACAAATTATGGAATGTATGAACACATAAAATCAATATAGAAGAAGCTAAGAATAACATATACAGTACTATTTAATAATGTAATTTGTGAATGTATAACCAATATGATAAAATGTCCCACAAAATGTATTTTAGTTGATGAACATATGGTTGAGGATTATTTTTGTTGTTCTTGACAGTGTAGAGATGATTTAGGACAGTATTTATTTTTATGTCTTATTTGACTAAGTTGGCAGTAAATAAATAAATAAATAAACAAACATGATAAAAGCTTTCCCAAAAATTGTTGACATATAAGTTAATATTCATTTGGTTAGGTTCGAAAAGAGTATGGAAAATGCCTGAGAACGCATTGCTGTAGTGGCAAAAGTACAGAGAGTTCCATTGGCTCAGGGAAAACATCTGGTTCTCGTACTCCTGGACGTTACTCCACAGGCTCACAGGTAAAAATATTTACTAATTGAAATTAAATATCTCTTCCCTATATTCTGTTAAAAGTTGCTGTCCTTTCATGATTCCTAGTGCTTAACACATCTAGTTTGTTTTTGTTGTTCTTTTACAATGTCTCAAGTGGGAATGATTTATGACAGAAATTTAAGAAACCATTGCAATAAATTTATGAAATTATGGTCTAAGTTTGTATAATAATTAATGATTTCATGTTGTTTCTAGCTAGAGGAATATGGGCCAGAGAAAGGAATTTAGTACTTCACTGAAAATGCCAAAAAAATTATTTTAATACAGATATGATTCTGGAGATAATTATTTTTCCCCCCTAATGCAGTAATTCTCTATCACATATTAAAAATATTGATTTTGGAGCTGTATGATTTGTGACATTAAAAGAAAAAATCCCCTTCATCTGTTGCTCTCATGTAACCACTTCCAGTTTCCAGTCCCTTATAAAAATTTGAATACTCTGTATTCATAAAAATGTGTATAGAAATGTACATGTGTATGCTTAAAAGCTGTGGACTGAAGTATTGCTCTTCTTACTCTGCCCTTCCTTTAATTATTCTGTCATTTACTTTATTGATTCTGTAGATATATATTATTTGATTCTGTAGATATATAATATTTGAAGAACAGCAAAATGCATTAACATATATTAAACTGTAAAGCATAGTAATAAAATGAATACCTGTGAATTCAACATCAGAAATAAAACATTTTCCATGTCTTTCTCTGCTTGAAATCTCTCCCTAATCAATCCTTATGCCTCTCCTAAATTTGTTTTGCCATTTCCTTGACTTATTCTAATTGCTGTTCCATTTCCAAAAAAGATGCTGTTTAGTGTTCCTTGTTAGAATAGTTCTATTTCTTTATGTCTTATAGTATATAGTATTCTACAGTAGTGGTTTTCACTCCAGTACTCTAAGGCATATCCTGGCTCAGTCCTTGAATATTTAAGTGTTGAATCTGCACTAAATACTATATTATTTTTCTTCTGATTGTAAAACTTAGATTTTGTTCCTTTCCCCCTCCCTATTTAACTATTATTTGATATAATATAATAATTTGTTAGCCTCCTAATTTAGAACCAGATGACTGGGTTCAAATATAGGTTATACCACTTTTTGGGTCTGTGACTTGTTAACCTTGGAACCTCTAGTGAATAAATGACACCTACCTCCTGGCATTCCTGTTAGGTTTTATTCATTGAATACATGAGAAAAATACATAGTATAGAACTCAGAATTAATGTGTACATATATACACATTCATGTATGGCCTGTGTGTGTTTGCCTTTCCCCTTTGTATTTCCAGCATCAATGAAGTTTGGTCTCTTTAAAGAGAAAATTTTAAGCAAACTTAAAGAGATAAAGGAGCTGCCTAGACCTCAATTTAGAGAGAGCACTCCAAAGGACAGAACAGTTATACCAAGTCCTAAGGCAAAAGCATGCTTAGCATACAAAGGAGAGGCAGAGAAGCAGTGTGGCTAGACTAGTAGACTAATAAAAGCTGAGATGATGAGAGCAGCACATGTAAATATCACCTAACAACTGTTCTAACTCTCAGTTAAGATGTCACTTCAGTGCAATATTTTCAGATTTCCTAGACAAAAGCATATCCCCTTACCATGGATATTTATTTTTTTTTTAAATCACATGGTGAAAAACACATGCACAAAAGTATACAAAATATAAGTGTGTGACACAGTGAATTAATACCCTTCCACTAATCAAGTTTCTGAGTAACTCAGAAACACTTTGAACATATCTCAATTATATACCTCCAAATGTAACCACAGTTTTAATTTTTATCAGTACGTTTTGTTCAGTGTGTATTTAATACTTATTCACATGGAATCATCTAGTACATATTCTTTCACTGTTTTCTTTTTTTTGGACATCTGTGTTATTCTGAAAGGTTTTGCTTCTTTTAAACTTTTATTGCTGTATATAATTCTATCATTTTTTATCTATTCATCCACTGATGGTCATATAAGTGCTCATATTTCTCAGCTATATTAATGCTTCTATGTAGATTTGAGAGCTCATTATTGTACTTTTGCATTTATTTTTGTGATAATTTGATTTATCTGCCACTTACTAACCTAGCAGCTCCATGAATGATAAAATTAAAGGCAAAAAAAATTAAGAGACATTTTAAGTTTGCTTTTTCCCATTGTATTTTGTGGGTTAGTATTTGGCATGCATTAGAGGGTAATTGATATTTTTAATTAACTAGTAAACACATTAATTAATTCAACAAACCAATGTGTGAACTTTCTTCCCAGTATTCCAATTTGAAATTTTGAAGTATTTTTCAATAGAAACATTCTCAAGTACTCAGAACCTGTATTCCTGAACCAGTTTTCTTTTTGTACTTATTAATTTTGCTCTGTGCTGTGCATGTTTGTAGTCTGACCCACATAACAGTATAAACAGTCTTTCTGAAGGAGAAACTTCCCAAGATTCATAGAATTGATTGTCCATATTTTAAGATTAAGTGCTCTGTTATTTGAGAAGTTCAAATATATTTCGAACATAACCAGCTGTGGGCTTGGTTTCACAATTAGTAGTAGTCATAGTTCTTAAAACTTTCATTTTTGGAAAAGTGTTATTTTGTTTCCTCCACAGACAAAAATGTTAATAATTCTCTGATCCCTAAGTCAGTAAAATAGCGAAATAGAATAAAACAATTCCCCCAATAAGAAATTATTATACTGCTTTTCTTGATATTCCAACCCTTAGAAAACTGAATTTGAGAATATAAAATTCTTAAATGTAAGAATTTTCATTTCTCAATAAAACTTTCTACTGTAAAGCAGGGAATAAGTGTGAATTGACTTCCTTTATCTCCTTCAAGAGAAAGGCAAGCCAGGGTAGTATGTAACCTCTAAAATTATATTGGCCTTCTTATAAAACTTATGGAAAATGTGTAAAACTCTTGCAAGAGTCTGAATTCTTAAACTAAATCTTTTGTTAATAAAACTGGCAACTTAATGCATATGTAAATGTCTCATTTCCATAAAAGTTACAATGAAAAAATTTTGGTTATCCATGGAAATTAAACTTATTAAATTCTAACATTCTAGAGTACGCTTCTATATATCTTCAACATGTTTAATTGGTATAGTACATTACATTCATTCCTTTTTCATAGTTATAATTATTTTTATATAGACTTTGAGGAACGCACTTAATGAAAACCAATTGTTACCATTAGTTTCTCATGTACTCCTACTTCTGTAATATAACCATAGAGATGTTGTATATTTGCCAAATGTGAAAACCAGAGGTCTCATATAACTATGACAGGAAGAAAAGAATGATTTGTGTGAAAATGCACTGCCTGGTGAGTTCATTTCCTTTCTTCTTTTTCCCCCATCCAGAGCCGAATTCGCAGAATGTGGAATGACACGGTCCGAAAGCAGTCAGAGTCTTCCTTCATTACTGGAGATATAAACAGCTCAGCATCACTCAACAGAGGTAATTAAAAATGATTTTTCATATTTATTACTTTTGTGATTACTTTTAAGAAGGTGGTAAATGCATTGCTTTATTTGCACCTTCTGGACCTTCTTCCATGTGATAGGAATATTGCAAGGATTTAAAACCTGGTTGTGTATAGCAGTGTGTTCCATTATTCATAAACCTTTTTTTTTCAATCCTGAATTTTCAGGAGATCTTTTCTGAAAAGAATTTAGAAAAGTAAAAATTTCTTTTGTGGTTGTCTGCCACTGCTATAAGCTGGTGAGTTGTCAGGCCTCATTGGAAGCAGTGAAAATTGGCAATTATGTGGCTATATAGTCGGTTAAGCATCATAGAGTTCCACATTGTCCCAGGTATAGAGCAATTTCAGAGTCTTTGTGGAAGTAAAGTAAAAATATACTGTCTAAAACCTACTTAAGGCAACCTGTGCATTTGGCGGGGTTGGGAGGGTGGGGATCATATCTATTCTTAATATCCAAGACATCCAAATAATATTGGATATTTAAAGAACTAAGAGAAAAAAATATTTCATGTATGTTATCATTTCTTGTGTGCTTCTGGTTAAAATATTCCTAAGGCATCATTTAGATTTTTGATATGAAGTTCTGTTAATTTCCTGATTTGATTGTGGTTCCTTTTCTTTTTCTTCTTCTTCATCTCCTTCCTCTTGCTCTCTCTCTCATTAGAATTTAACTGACTACAGTAACAAGAACTAGGTGTGGCATTTGTGGAGAGTTACAGGACACTTTAGTCAGTGCAAAGAAATATTTAGCATATAATTTCATCTGAAAATGGAGGGTTTGTATGAGATAGTCTAATCACATTCTCCTGGGAGAAATATTTTGATACATATATTCAGTAATCATTTTTATGCTCAACACTGTTATTGTTCTTAACCCCAAACTAGTACATTTATTTTATTTTTTTTAGGCAGAAAAGTGAAAAAAATATTGTCAGATAAGGAGGACAAGAAAGCTCTCTGAGCAGAGAGGGCTCCTGAGCAGGTAGCCAGTATTAGTTTATTTTAAACCTGTTTCTGACAGCTTTTTGTTATATTAGATACTACTTAAAAACAAATAATTTAACAAATAGGGGTCATAACTAAGAAAGATTCATGTGCCAGTGCTCATAATAGGTTTTACTGAAAATAAGTAGTTATTTATATAGAATAAGTTAGGACAATCATTTCCAAATTGAATTTAATATAAGAATTTGTGTTTATATAATCTTAATTTTATTTTTTTGTACAGTAATGTGGTAACTATAACCTAGTGATGGTATTAAAAATTTTAATTTGCTTTTGCTTAAGTAAGAACAGTGGGCATAAATATGAAAAAAACATTAGAATAAAGTAATTATCTTGCATTTTGTTTCACAATTAGATTGCTTTTATTTGCTAGAGACTATTGATTTACACAATGTCTCTATTCGTCTCTTTTTAAGTTTAGCTTTAATGGTTAGCTTGTGCGAAATTACTTAAATATGAATAGTCTAACTTTTGGACATTACTTTCCAAAGCATAAATAATGAATTACTTATAAAAGTGCCCCCAAATTTTAGGAAATCATTTGCTTCCATAATGACAAATTTTCTTTAATCTTTAAGTAATCCCATACATAGAAAATTTATATTCCTTGAAAGAAAGCTATCCTTCTTAAAAGGATTTATTTTTAATAATATCTTGCGTGTAATGATTATAACAGTCATAGAGTAATTATAAATGAAGCAGGTTAATAGAACATGATTTTAAAGATGACCTATTATTTATCTACTGTGGAGATGGACAAAATATGTAAAATTATTGTTTTTAGCATATGATCTAAATTTATGTAAAGATTATAACCTTCATAAAAACTGCTTTAAATGTGTAAGATTGTATGTCCTTGACGTTAAAGTTAATCACATTATATAGCATTGCTTTGTCTTTTTTATTTCTTGTCAAGACTCTTACCAACTTGAAATATATTGATTTGTGGATAATTATGTCAGTTTGAAGTACAGTTAAAGAAAAGAATAATCTTAGTTACTAATTGATCATGTTTAAATGTTTTTATATTCATTAATTTTAAAAGATGTTTCTTAAAGTTGTTAAAGGAAGGGTATATTTCTATTTCTATCCAGTGAGTTTCTTTAATGACTTTGGGGAAGGGGTTAATTGAATTTATGATTTCAGACATGCCAAGGCAGCAGTCTTTTTCTATAGGGTGTTTACTATTTCTTTCATTCAGTAACATTAATGGTGCTAGACATGATAGTGATCTTCTTGATGCCCTATATTAATTTCCTAGTCTCCCACATCAGAAACTCCTCATTTTATTCTCCATCTCATTATTTTTTAACCTTAGATGAGTGGAGGGTATTTTAAAATTTTATTTCTTAATATTATATCTCAGAAGCTAGTCTTTAACCTCCTTCTTTAATCTTGTCTCATTTCCCAGGGTCCTATCTTCCCTGCATTCAGGCGTGTGTATCATATTTAGGTAGGTGGCACCCAAGATTCACCTTTCCAGATAAACACTCCAGTCACCTCACAACATAATTATTCACTTCTGTTTATTCAAAAGATTATTTTTTCTATGATTAAAATAAAAATTTTAGGTATTACATCTTCACATTTTCATATATCCTAACTTTTCCCATTCATAGTTTCTTATAGCTAGCAATTATTTAAATTCAAACTCCATTGCCCTTTCTTTCTAAGTTAGACATTTTAAATCTCTTATTTTTTCTTCATTTCTGACCCCTGAAAACCACAAGAAGTTGTCTAAAAATTAGTCTTATTTTTACATTAGATTTTCTATCCCATTCATAACCACTGACTAATTCATCAAAATTCATTATTTTAAAATTCTTTGTGTCTTATCATCTATTCTTCCAAACAAGAATCTATCATTATCATCTTTGAATAAAGCATCCATCATGCAGTGTAGAACTCCTCAATTTTTTTTCAAGCCATCTAATATTCTGTTCTTGAACCAAGCTGTTACATCCTATTTGTCAGATTATCTGCCTACCTTTCCCAATATGATAAACTTTATTGTTGTTGGGAATTTATTCCTTGGAATCATGTGAGATCTTGAATGATTTATTGAAAAAGTTTGATTCACTTAATCATTCTTATACTCTTGGGATTTTGTTATTTGGTTACTTCATCTCTAAAACCTTCCATTACATTTGTCCTTTGAAATATATATTTATGAAGATGTTTTCTAAATGTTCCCTATTTTCTAATATTTTCCTTGTTGCAATTTTATACATTAGAGGAAGTCCAGAATTCCTTAAGGCCAGTATTCCAGGACTACTGTCAAGATAAATTCACAGATGCCCTATCTACATAGGCAGAAATAGCTTTTCAAGAGCCCTCAGATGATGGTTGATCACCAATAGTTTCAAGGAAAGTTAACTCTAATATAAACCCAACATTTCACAACTCTCACAGGAGGGTTTATTCAGTGATTCATTTAAATTTTACCTTGAAGACGATTCTAAATCCAAGAGCTCCTCTCAGGCCTATTGGCATTCTAACCCAAATTTCTAGTAGTCCCCAGTACCTAGTAGGGGTAAAAATAATTTGTAGAAGAGTAGTCTTTCCTGCCTCTATCTCCTAACCACTGTCTCTGTTGGATAAACCTCATCCTGAACAATATAGGTTAACAATGCTTCTATAACTTGCATTTTATTAAAAGAAGTAAGCATTTGCTGAGAAACACCCTTGTCATTCAATTCATGGTTAAGCATTTCTACTTGTTGTGTAGATCTAAGTTGAAATTGTAATATTTTCTGAAATCAGATGTTTTTAAGGATTTATCTCATTATGAATAACATAATTGTATCTCCATTTTCTTTTGATTTAATTAGTTAAATTGACCACAGGAATTTGAGCTTAAAGTTTTGCAAAGGTACTTGCTACCAACATGGTATCCTTGTGTGTGTTACAAAAGGGTACCTTACTCCCCCACCTGAGCTTTGGAGTTATTGCAAAAATATGCCCCACGTGAACAGAAGAATTAGCAAAAAGACACTTCTTCTAGAATAATGGCTTAGCTAGCATTGTGGGTTTTTATTTCCCCTACCTCATATTTCCATCTTATCAGCCATGCAAGTTAATTCAATTTACATTTTTATACATTAAGATCTGACTAATATATCTGTATTTATTTAAACCAAATCTAGCTGTTATAGGGCAGAAGACTGATCTGAGATGTGTGACACTTATTCATTATTGCTGATGGATTCTCCTTTCAAGGTTTATATGCATGTTAATCTAAACATGCATTCTCAGTAAATCTATGTAACCAGTAAAGTTATGATGACTTCTGGCAGTCTTTTCGTAAATTTTTAGAGCGAATTTTGACTCCAATTAGTGGCATAACTACCTTGTGAAAGTTAACCTCACCTGTGAGGAACGTTGTATATTTAGAGGGGAAGTGTGGTCAAATAGACATTTACAAGTATTTGACTTACACATGACAGTTTTGCATAGTAGTTTTGAGATTGGAGTTCTAACCCAATGACTTTTAATAAATTGCTTAACTTCTCAAGTCTATGCAATAGGAATATAAATAGTACCCACTTCAGAGGTCCTTGAGAGGTCTTAGTGAGTTAATATATGTTAATTGCTTACAGCAGTGCCTGGATCATAATAAGTATTTTATTATTTTATTCAGAAGTTCATTTATGTTTTCTAATGAATGAAAACTGATTCTTACCAGTGCTCTCAAGCAATCAGATATTAAAATTCATCATTGACTAAGTAAGATTTCCTGTCCTGTATGTCTTCGTTTAATAGGTAGAAGAATGAGTTGGTTACCTAAATGCCAAATAAGAAAAATAATAATTTACCTAAATAGTCCTACCCTTGAAGCTAACCAAAGAAATAAATTAATGAAACTGAATTGTTTCTTCTAAGTTAGAAATTATATGTGAATTGCATCTGCCTTGTTGTACTTTCCACTTCTGATTTGTAACTCTATTTTAGCATTGAAGAAATAAAGGTA